AAAAAAAAAAAATTATGCAAAACTAAATACTCATATGCATACATACAAATGTATGTGTGCGTGTGATTAAATTTGCGAGACTTTCGGCTCCATCTTCCAAGTTTAAATTTCATTATGCGTCTTTGGTTAGCTTCTGGCTAWGCTTGCGTCGAAAACCAATTTTGTTTGCCTATTTTCCCATTTCCTAAACCATATGTGATCCTAATTTTTTGCTTTCCTTTGAAACTCAGTTTTCTAATATAATTTCTCATTCGTTCTTGTTCTTCTCATTGCAGAAGGTGTCATACAAACAAAGGTGAAAGGGTAGATAGTGACAGCGCAAACAGCGCTCGGTATCCAAAAACCAAGGGCACGTCAAGCGCATATGTGACAACCAAAAATCTAACGGTATTTGTCGGCATGTAAATGTACGCCACACACGCCGCCTATAAACAACATAAAAAATAACGAGAAAAGAACTGTCGAAAATGAAAGCCACCGAGAAAAGTGTAGCGAAATCACAGCAAAAACACTAAGGACACATATTAAAAATAGAATAAGAAACAACAAAAAGGGCGGCTAAAAAATTGTCGTTGAAGTTTGAAAGACACGTTGCAACAGCCACCACACAGCACAGCGACAAATACAGGCTGTATGGTTTCGCATGCTCATCTGACACAGCAATGGCAGCTGACGACTGTTGCCTGGCCGATGCGACGACTAACAAACGAACAAGCACAGCAACAACAGCAACACTAACAACCAAAACACAAAGTGTTGTAACTACAGCAAGCGCAACCGCTTACACCACCCCCTCCAGCGCCGTCTGCGCGGCAGCTTGTCAACGCCACACAGCTGTGACTGCAACAACAAACAGAACAGCTCACAGCAGCGACACGACAACAACAGTATCGGCAATAAACAGCAAACCAGAACACATTGAACCGCATTAAACCGCATAGCCGACGCCGTCCACACCACAGACACTGCCACAGGCGTTGCATACGTAGAGACAAGCACACAAGCGCACGACGAGCGCAGCCAAGTGTGCGGCTGGCGGCATTGCAATCACAGCTCGATACGGCTGTTTTTATTTGTGCGGCGCTTTTGGTGAAAGTGCTGGTCAACGRCCAACAACCAATTCAGCCACAAAACAACAACAACAATAACAACTAGACGTACACACGCAGTACCTAGCAGCAGCGACTGTAGATGAAGGAGAAGAAAGAGAAGGGCAAAAAATAAACACGAAATTAAAAGTGCGAAAGAATCAAATCACAGTCCTTGGGCAATACGAGGCGCTCTGAAATTGCGATTGACTGTGCAACAGTGTGCGTGGGTGCCACTGTTGCTGACACTGTTGTGCCTGATCATTTTTATTTGCGAACAGTCACTGAACTCRCTTGTCCTTCGTAGACGGCGCTACGGTTCCGCTGTTTGTTCGCTTTGTTTGTGAGTGGTGCTGTGCCAAACGAGTCCAACAAGCAGCGCACTCTCCCACGCCTACCACGAACGCGACAGCTAGTAGCCTGGATAAAAGCGAGCACAAAAAACGTCAACAAACACATTGAAAAAGAACGCAAAAAGCAAACAAAACAACGCAAATATCCACCGTACGACTGCCATCAGTTGTCGTTTTCTACGTTTTTGCAATTCTCTTCAATTTTTATTGGCTCACTCTCTTTCGTCGCTTTTAAATTGACTTTGGAACAACGTTTCAACGAGCATACGTTTGCGAGATCTGCTCGACGTCCGCGTTGCCAGCCTCCTTCAGCCGTTGTCTGCTTTAATTGAGTTGACTACTCGTACAAATCTCAAAGCCGCATCGTTCTCCCAACTCCCGCAAACRGCAGTTAGCAGCGGCGAGCAATAGTGTCATAGAGATGGCGTCAAAATTTTGGTTGAATGTTTGGTGTGCGTTGGTCGGCTGGTTTCCGTTGCTGGCGAATGGCTACCTGAATGTCTTCATTAGCCATCGCGAGGTCATCAAATTGATGGGTGAGTACAAAGCAAATGCAAAGGTAAACAAAAAGTACAAATACCCTTTTTTAAGTTAAGAAAAAACGAAAGAAATGCAAAGAAAAAGTGAAAATGCCGATATTAAAGTAGAAATGCTGAAAAACTTCAAGCATTTTGTTATGCAAAAGATCTTTCTGGCTTTAAAATGCGGAATCCAAAAAGAAACATAGTTTTATAGGCTTTGATGTTACTCATACGCCTTGTGCACATACATACATATGTGGGATATATGTATATGCAAAAGTATTGATAAGCCTATGCTACAACTGTTATTATTGTTGCAATGCAAAATTTTGATAACAGCAAATATTAATTTATTCATTAAATGCGATGCAGTTGCAAAAAATTTGCATTTGGTGCAGTGAGCGACACGGCGTATACGCAACACTTTTATATCTATCACATCGATGAATTTCAGCACTAATCATATTAAGATTAAAATAGAAACGAATGGAACGCTAGAATATTGCTAATTTGATGAATATAGATGTAGCTTTGTGAATAGCTACATACATCTGTAGATATATATATATATATACATTAGGGTGGATTCAAAAGAGCGAAAGTGTTTTTTTAGCGATTGGTACGCCGAAAAATTGTTTGATAGACACCTCCAAGTACGAGCTCTTAATTGAAAGTGGAGCTTCTCCTTCTAAATTTTTTTTTTTTTATCAGAAAGAGTAGTTAATTTTTCACTTTCAACTATAAAACATTTGTATATAGTTTCATATATTTTGCAGGAAATCAAATGCACCACAAAATGGTCTCTTACGGTTTTTTCGTGAGCTTAACAGTTTAAAAGATATTTACGTTTGAAATTTGACTACAGAATTTTGAGAATTTTTTTTCTTTTTTATTTTTTTTGTGAAATTAATGACTCAGAAGATTAACGGTTTTATTAACTAGAAGGTGTAAGATCCGAGTGACACCGCAGCCGCAAATGAGACACATCCGCCTGCAATCGGCAGATACAGTGAATTATATAGGTCTCATCCTGGCAATGAAGCTTTCACTGAAGCCGAATATAGAAGAGAGAGCAAAAAAGGCATAGAGTGCCTTATACTGTTGTCGAAGAGCCATTGGCAAAAGGTGTGGTCTCTCACTGAAAGTGGTCGTCTGGCTCTATGACACGATAGTCAAGCCCATTATGTCTCCCTCTAACCATTCACTTAACGCCATTTTGAATATAGTGCCCGTTGACATCGCCAGATGGTGTATAGCTACGAAAGTAGTTATYAGACTCAAAAAATCTGGGTTCTTAAAAGAACACATATCTGAACACTCGGATATGCTCATACCTGAACTCCATAYCGAATCACTTGTATCATGGCGACGCCAAACCGAAATCTGGCGGATCCTTCTTTGCCCATATACCGACGAGGGAGCTTTAGGTGGGAAGAAGCTGTTTGAGGAGAGGGGAAATGAACTTATTTATGGATGAGTCAAAGCTTGGAGGAAAATTTGGTGGAGAGATTTTTTGTCAGAAGCTCTCTATCAACTCCAGCTTCAGACTTCCTGACTATTACGGCGTCTTTCAAGCCGAGGTTACAGCCATAAAGTAGCACTAGATCTGCTGCTCCGTAGTGCAGTCTCCTTCAGAGAACTTCAGAGAATTGACGATACTAATCTTGAACTCATTTACACTGCGTTCAAGGTTGGGCGAGGAGTAACTAACCTCGCTATCAATAGCATCGAGTGTCTTCGTGATAAGACTTGTATGATTGCCGTGCCATAGCGTAATCGCAGGGAATTGTRAAGCTAATGAGCTAGCTAGAAAGACACCGTAGAGCAAAATTTCTAAAAACTAAAAGTACAAACTTTATTGTTCGAAAAAAGCATTCAGATCTAAAAAAGTACTTCTGTGCTTCTAAAGAAAACTACGARCACCGCTTTATACTAAAAGCCAGCAGTATTCACAACCCTGAYGAAATACTATACGAGTTGATAAGACATCGCAAAATCGATCGACRCCACTGACACACTTTCCTCATACACACACATTACAATAAATGAATGTAGACCACAAGTGATTGACTGATTAATAGCAGCAGCCAAGGATCACTTTAGTTCAGTTTTTCTCTCGAACGCAAATACATTTGCCGCACAACTAAATGCACAGAACGCAGAGGCACGCAGCCAAAAACAAAAATGCAAGCTTTATATAGGTATACATAAAGATATATATGAATTTTTATACATTATACACTCATACCGATTATTTGCTTAGTACAACAGCCAAATGGCGCAAAAATTGGGAGTGGAAAACACTTGAAGCCCAACAAAAATACACCGAACTCAGCAAAGTGAAAGCAAAACAAATACAGTGTTGCAAAACTGAAAAACTGAAAGCAAAGCAAAAGCTGCTGCGGTTAGCAATCGGCGTGCGATTTGCTGAACGGCGCACTTAWCGGCGGGGTGACGGCRGTTAGAAGCTGGCACATTGGCGAGAATAACAAATTATCAGATGCTTGGGCATGCTTAAGTGCGTGCCAGGCGCTAAGTGGGCAACGCAAAGCGAAAACCGAAAGCGTTTACATGAATAACTGCTGCGCGCACATAAATATGCCTTTGTGTGTGCGTAAGTAAATGTATTTGTTTTGCGCGCGATGTGGCGCTTGAAGAGGCTTTCGAGCATATTTTCATATTTATAAAAGCGCTGCTCGAGTGTATGACAAATAGCGCGTAAGCGAAGCTTAACTTTGCAGACATCGTTTGTGCGCAACTATTTACAATAGCGCTTTGCTTTTAACGCCAGCAGYGCGTTACGCCAACCAGTACAACTTTACGCCAGCGCCGCGCTTAATCTCGACGAACAAAACTGAAATCGATTTCGAAAGCTCAAATCAACATCGTTACGGCGCGCACTTATTGTTGACAATCAGCAGCACACAACAACAACGACAACTGAAACAAAATTAACAATAACAAGCGCAAATAGCGTACACCACACACATACTTAGACACACACATACACACATACTTATATTGTTTGATTACAAATACGAAAAGAATTTTTCGACTACCCAATATGTACATACATAAATATATATACATATATACATACATATATGTATGTATGCAAACAATAATAAAGTGGAGCAATACTTATAAATAGCCGCAAAGCAAAAAGGACGCCAACCGCAAACGTTGAATGACGTGACATCGGCGACCTCACCACCACCACTACTGAAAGTGTCGGCATTCTTTCGTTATTTTCGGCGAAATATTAATGACACATTCAGGCGCCTTGGCAGTCGCAATGCATCATTTACTGGAACGCAATCACCGTCACCATTCACGGGCACTTGTCGGGTGAACGCGAGGCGGTAAGCGTGCGCTGCCGCAGCTGTTAGCGCGCTGAGCGACGTTACAGCAATGGCCTCGACCTTGCCGTCGAGCTTCGTGAGCGTRAAGCGTGAAGCGTGCCGCAAGCGTCGATGTTGCCAAAAATGTTTACTGAATCGTAAACAGGCAATCAGCAATGAGACACACACACATACATATCCATATATACATACAAACATACAAACAGCCGTTGGTACAATTGATTAATGATACTGCACGGCCGCCTCATGCCCTTTTCCTGTCCTGTCAGCCAACCACTTACCTAAACGCAATGTTTCTTATTATTATTATGATAGTTATCTTTGTGGTTGTTGTGTCTCTTGTCTAATAGTTCTTGTCAAACCGGATTTCTTTGTTAATGTGTTTCCTGTTTTTCTTATTTTACCGTTGTTGTTTTGTCTGCGCTTTTTTTGTCATTTTGGTTTCGCCACATTACACGCCACTTCAGAACCAAACAAAACCAAATAGGCTCGTAACGCAATGCAAACATGAGGCAATGAATTTTGTTAGTTTAACATTCTCCATTTATCTTGTGGGAGTTTCGCTTGCCCTCAACACATTGTCCCTTCTCAACTTTTAGCTCGTTTCTTGCGCATCAATTTTTAGGCTGCGCGTACGACAGTGGTCCCTTGGCATTTGCTGAGCTTAAGCATCAAAGCAAGTCTGGAAAGTTAGTTGATCGTATGCGAATTTAATGGGCTCAGCCTGTGAGTTTTAACAAATTTGAATTGTCCCGAAAAAAGTTTGTACGTTTTTCACTATTATTGTAAGCCCCGCTCATTGTGTGCTAAAGGGTTTTTGGGATTGCGGTTCGATCAGCGTGGAAGTCTTTTACTGACAATAATAATTTGTCTTAAAATGCGATTTATTTTAGCTATGTAAGCTTAGGAYCGCTTAGTAAAACCGCTTTAATAATGTTTTCCATTTCATTTTTATGTATAGTATAGTAATGAAAAGCACGCCTAATTGTAGGCAATGTTTTTTTACCTATTAGTGATAGAAAACTATTTTATTGCATAATATATAGGAGAAATAGATAGCATACATTTAAGAGCRATKAYTAAACYTTCAKGTTTTTTCTAGAGTATTGTTGTAATACGTTATGGGTTTTACAAAGTAGGAAGCAAAGGTTAACCTCTC